TAAATTTATTACTGAAAAATGTTGGCAGTCCACGGGAATGGCTGGTAACAGGGTATGTGGATTTGGAGCCAAAGGATGTCTGGAAAGAACTGTTCTATATGTAGCTCTGAGATCCTGTACAAACCGCCATCCTTTTCCATTAGGCTTCTTTACTGGAAGGAGAATTACAGGGGCTCACACATGGAATTATAAGCCAGTTTTAAAGTAATCTTGTGTAATGGGCTTAATTCCAGCTAGTGCAGTGGTTCTCAACCTTCTGGCCCTTTAAATACAGTTCCTCATGTTGTGACCCAACCATACAATTATTTTCGTTGCTACTTCATAACTGTAATGTTGCTACTGTTATGAATCGTAATGTAAATATCTGATATGCAGGATGGTCTTAGGCGACCCCTGTGAAAGGGTCGTTCGACCGCCAAAGGGGTCGCGACCCACAGGTTGAGAACCGCTGAGCTAGTGCATCAGATCTTAAAGGATATTGGTGAATGTTAGGTGGAGGCTAAGTATATAATAGGAGTGGCTTAGTCTTGTCAATATCTGTACTGGAAAAGGCCCAAAGTTGGTTTAGTATCTCATTCATTTAGTTCTAAATATATTTCACCGTCTGGGAAAAGGATATCTCGGAATCATGGGTTTCAAGAAAATCTCTCCTGAAAGACAAATATCACATGATCTCACTTATTTGTAGAATCTAATGAACAAAATGAATTGATCGACAAAATAAAACCCAAAGCATGGAGGCATGGAACAGATGGACATACCTTGATGTGGGGTGACAACAAGAAATAAACCAAAGAACTTATATACTTACCAGAGGCCTGTGCACATTCATGCACTAGGGGGAAGAGGGGGTCCTTCAGCCCGATCTGTGCCCTCTCGCAGTCTGGGACCCTTCCTCTGAGGGGAGCAGGCCTAAGCCGGTGGTTGGACATCCCCAGAGGGTCCTTAGCACTGCCACTGAGGCGGGAGAGGCTCCCGCTCGCCAGCCGTGAGCCTGGCTTCTGGTGAGCGGCGCTCCCCCTCCCTGTGGAAGCACACTGACCACCAGGGGGCAGCTCCTGCGTTGAGCGTCTGCCCCCTGGTGGTCAGTGCATGTCATAGTGACTGGTCGTTTTTGCCCTTTGGTCGATTTGCATATTAGCCTTTTATAATATAGGATGTGCATAGCCTGTGGAACCCAGCAATAGGGTAGTGAAGACCTGGGGGGCAGGGCTAGGGACTGGGAGGAGAGGGGCACAGGGGAGGAAATGGGAGACATCTGTAATACTATCAACAATAAAAACCATATTTAAAAAAATATCTCCCTATCAGGTGAATTGGGGCAGATTTGACTAGTAAAAATATGTTGCCCAGTAACATCCCCTAGTTAGAAGGAAACAGGTTCTGACTTTAAAAGACATTGGTTGATTAGATATCCCTACCATTTGTACAGAGCTTTACTCTGAGGGAGAGGGAACTGAATTGGGTAAGGTTAAGAAAAGATCAAGTAGCCTCAGTAATTTCCCCTTTTAGGATAATTTCAATTTCTCCTCAAGTATTAGTAAGGAGAAGGGGAAATGCGCCCTCTCCCAGTCCTCAGAGCAGCCCTATGCTTGCTTCTGTTTTTTTCTAAATCCCATGTCTGTTTTCTACAATCCTTCTTAGGGTGACCTGGTTTTCTACAATAAAAACACACTCCTCTCCCTTGTCTAAAAGCCCTTTGGTTGCTTAATTGGGGGTGTGTGTGTCAAGCACTCCACCCCAGGCCTGATTAGAAGCTTCTAACTTCCAATCAAGATAAGCTTCCCAGTCGTTCAGTTCAACTTTAGAACAGGCCGTTTCCAATTGAGCATACAGAAAAATCAATTTGGAGGTGTCAAAAGCTCCCCACTTTAGCCATCTCAAGCTGATAATCATTTTTAGTTAAATTTTCCCATCTCTGTAGGTACTTGCAGATTGAGGTTCCATAGGAATTACACATATAGCCTGTAGGGGTAGTAACAAGGTACTGGGGTTCTTGAGGTTTATTGACTTTATAGGCACGATTTCCTATGTTAACTTGTTTTCTTTGGCAATCTGGGGAGTCTGAACAAATTTCTAGAGAAATGGGGTGGTGGGTTAAAGTGTGCTGCTTACAGATTGGGCTCCAAGCGGCTGTCGCCTCCCAAATCACTTCCATCCTCTTGTGTGTCTCGGTTTCTCTCCCAGCTGCCTAATACAGCTGTGAGGACTCTGAGCTAGGTAGCCAGCCTGTACTGTATATATCCCTGGACAAGCCCATTATTTCCTTATAGTTGTGTTGGAATTGCCTACAGGTACCCTTTCTTGCGGGGTACCCTTAGATACCTCCACATATATTTTTAATTACCTAAGAAAACCCAAAATTCAAGCTGGAGGGAGTAAATACCCCTTATCTTCAGAGCTGAACACGTTTGGACTCTTATTTATCTAGAGGATTTATTCAAGACTCACAGTAAGCAGTTCTAATGGAAAAGCAGAAATTCAAAGCAGCTGCCTATTTCAACTCCTAACCTTCAGTGCCACCCAAAGGGTTTTCTAGGAACAGCTCAAATAAAGTCAGACCCTCTACCACAAGCAAAGAGGAGGTCCTGGATTCCAACAGATAACTCACCCAAGTTCACCCGATGGGAAGCAGGAGCTGGGCCCTGGCCGGTGCCTAGCATGGGGTCTGGGTCCACAGGGTGATCCTGGGTGAGCTCCACTGGAATCCTGCCCACTATGCAAGTAAATGTTGATGAAAAAAAAAAAATCCAGCTTAAGACGTCCTTGAAGAGTTTGAGACAAACTGAAGACAATTGCTGGGAAGCAAAATCTCAATGGATTGAGAAAATGCCCCCCAAAATGGCAGTTGTATCACTTATTTTATACATTAGAATCAAGGAGGAGATGAACAGAGAATTACATGGAAGTCATTGGTGGCAGATTAAGGAGGTGGAAGAAAGCAAAGTGGGGAAATCTCAGACTGGACAAAGAATAAAATGGAGAGAAACACACTTCTTTTACACTGGTGGTTCCAGGATAGTTAGCATTTACCGCACACAGAGATGGTATGTGGGCAACAAGATAATGTGGTCGCGTGCTCTGGTGCTGGTGGTTGTGCCTTTGAGAGGTCTGGGAAGGATTGCTCTGACCTTTCAAAGTTATGTCATCTTAGATGCACAAAGACAATAGACCATTTCAAAGGTAAAGAAAGCTACAGGCCAGGGTGTGACTTCCCACCATGATCTGCTTTTAGTTAGGATTTCATGTTCAGACCACCTTTCAGTCTCTGGGTTTATAAGGCTTACCACACAGGCCTCTCCTGAGCTTGTCAGGTTTAGCATGTGGTCCCTTTTTCATCCACAGGCCCATAGACCAAATTCTATACTATTTTCAATGTAGCTCTGCTATATTGAGTATTTTATAGTCTGTTTCTAATTTTTAAAATTAGGCAAATAAGACATTTTAAGATACTCTAAAAATCTATAAACATCTCAAAAACAAAGATACTTTTAACCTATGCAACCCAGATAAAAAACAAAGGTCACTACCGGTGGTGAAATCAAATAGAAAGGAGCATATTCTGGAGCAAGAGTGGAGTAGGGGTCCTGTCGGAAGTTTGGCCAAGGCACTCACTTTTTTTTTTTTTAATTATTTTATTGCTTCAAGTATTACAAAGAGTATTATATATGTCTCCTTTTTTTTTTTCTCCCCTTGACCCTCCCCTAGCCTCCCATGCCCTCCAGTGTCTTGTGTCCATTGGTTATGCTCGTATGCATGCATACAAGTCCTTTGGTTGATC